TTTAGTAAAGCTTTTGATAAGGTTCCCCATGCCAGATCACTTAGGAAGCTATATTTAAATGGAATATCTTCACAAGAGTTAAATTGGATCCAAGAATGGTTATACAATCGGCAACAGTGAGTTATTACAAATGGCACAGCATCTGAGTGGATTTCTGTTAAAAAAGTGTCTGTGTTTGGCCCCACCTTATTTATTATTTATATTAATGACATTGATGAATATATCTGTAGTAGGCTCTCAAAATTTGCAGATGATACCAAAGTCTACCATAGAATAACAACTGTAGTTGACAACTTGTCTACAAGAAGACCTTCGAAATATGTTTAATTGGTCAATTGAGAGGCAGATGCTTTTTACACTTGGAGTTCAACGATGAACAATATAACTCTTTTCTCTGCGATAGTCTAATTGAATTCGTTAATAAATAAAAAGGCCTAGAGTGATTATTGACAAATTTCTTGGTGTTAGCAAAGCTACGAAAGCTGCAAATCAGGATTTAGGTCGGAGAACCATTCAAAATAAGGAATGTAATGTGATACTTAGGTTGTACAAATCACTTATCAGACCTCACCAAGAATAATGTATCCAAGTATGGCGTACATATCTTCAACAAGATGTTGATATACTAGAACAAGTTCAGTGCAGATTTTCCAAGATGGTAACAGGTTATCATAATCTATTTTATGAACGGAGATTACAGAAATTACACCTCAATACACTTGAAAACCGTCGTTTAAGGAGTGACTTAATTGAGGTCTTTAACATTTTTAAAGGATTAAATATTGTAGGTTTCTTCATAGTTAATAATTCTATAACAAGAGGCACCACTATAAAATATACAAGCAGAGCTCCAGATTGGATCTAAGGAAGTTATTTTTCTTTCAAAGAGTAGTGGATGAATGGAACAATCTTTCAAAGGAAGCAGTTTCTATAAGAAGGGCAAATGTGTTTAATGGCTACCTTCAAAAAACATTTAAGACACAGAGAGGGAGCTTATATGAGTCAGCACACACAGAGAACACAAGTCAAATTAATATTAGATCATCACGAAATTAATGTCGCGTTTTGGAACACTTTCATTAACCATCCCTCAAAAAACGTACTTCACGCTTAAACGTCACGTTAGTGTAGCCTATATAATGTGTAAAGTTTAATATACTCTAATCCCTTATAGTGATGGCACACGACGAAACACATTCGGCATGTAATGCTGTTTGAATACAAGAAGGGAAACAACGCATCTGTAGCCATAATGAATATCAAAGAAGTTTATGGAAATGTTTTGAACATTCGTAAGTGTTAATGATGGTTGAGCAAATTTCGTTCAGGTGACTTTAGCCTTAAAAACTGTGATGGCAGAGGTAGACAGGTTGGAATTGATATTGATGCTCTGAAGATGCTTGTTGGGTCTAACCCAAGGCTCGTGAAATGGCCCTGAAATTGGATGTCTGTCGTGAAACAATATGTAAACATGTAAGGAATATAGGAAAACTCCATAAAGAAGGTGTTTTGGTGCCTCACGAACTGATCATCGTTTCCAACGTGTGAACGTTGTTTTGTCTCTTCTGGTGCGTGAACCATTTTTGGACAGAATTATCACTGATGATGAAAAGTGGATTCTCTATGGGAATATTAAACATCAAAAACAATGGCTCAATCCTAGACAAAAACCACTTCTGACCCCAAAACCTGGACTCCATCCGCAGAAAGTAATGCTTTTCATTTGGTGGAACATCAAAAGAGTAATTCATTTCGAACTCCTCAATCCACAGCGAACTGTCAATGCAGAGATCTATAGTCAGCAACTGGAACATTTAAATCAAGCCCTTCATCAGAAACGCCCTTCACTCGTCAATTGTTCTTCTTCTCCACAACAACATAAGATTATGGAGTTGGGTGGGGAAGTTCTCCCCCACTCACCATATTCTCCAGATATGGCACCATCAGATTATCATATTTTTCGTTTGCTGCAACACCATCTTAATGGGAAAACGTATGCAAAAGTGGAAGGTGTTCTTCTTGTTTATTTTCTTTCTCCTCCAACCACTGCTGTAGTCTCTTTTCTTGTTTATTTTCTTTCTCCTCCAATCACTGCTGTAGCCTCTCTTCTTGTTTTTTTTCTTTCTCCTCCAACCACTGCTGTAGCCTCTCTTCTTGTTTCTTTTCTTTTTCCTCCAACCACTGCTGTAGTCTCTCTTCTT